CCCCCCCCCCCCCCCCCCGTCCTCTCTGTCGGAGGTTAAGGCCGGCTGTTCTCAGCTTTGCTTCTGCCACCTCTTGGCTGCTGCTCCCCGGGAAGTTTTTCCGGGTTACTGTGCAGTTCTCGCAATGAGGTGTCTCCATCTTGATTGGGAAAGTGGTTCAGCTGCCCTCGTGGGGCCTTGCTGGATTGCTCAATTTATCATATGTCCCATGGCTCTTTAGGATGAAAAGTGCAGAAGGTCCTGCCATGGCCAAGCCCAGAGCCTAACGGCCAGCTTGCTTGCAGGGGTTCTTGTGTGACGGGTCCAAGCCCAGCTCTGGGGAAAGAAATGGTGCTGAGGGCTTGGGAGGAGCAGGTGCTGCCCTCCGCCTTCCTCATGACTGCTCCCACTGACAACATTGCCCCGGTTTCAAGCTTCTGCCCAAGGCAGTTGGGACCGTCCTTTCCCCACTTCTGTTGGGGACTTCTGGAGGAGCAGGGGAAGGTTGTTCTTGGCTGTTATCCTCACTTGGGAAGGTCTCAGGGCCCCACGTGTCACCGTGATGCTCCAGCGAGGTTGGTGGAATCGCACCAGAAGCGGCCTGCTCTCTCTCCACGTCCCTGGTGCGATGGTGATGAAGGAGCAGTCACCGCTGGACTGTGGGCAAGCAGCAGGGAAGGCTCCGCGGGGGTACTGGAGAGGGGTAACATATGATCAAGGTTTGGAGGATGAAAGTCCGGTACAAGAGGAAGGAGCTAAGCAGCCCTGGTAGTGGCTCTGTGTCCATGCAGGGCTCACAGGCTCCAGGGCCCTGAAGGAGGATTATGAGAAACCCATACTCACTGGGGAAAGGGCACTGCAGCTGACCTTGCAGCCATCTCTCCCTGGCAGGCCCCAGCTCATCACCACTACCCTGCTTCTGCATGGGCTGGCTTCTCACCAAGAAGAGTCCTTGGGGTCCTTTCTGCCTGATCCAGTTTCTGGTTCTCCCCTCAAGCTGCAGCCGCAGCCTGCAGGAGCTGAACAAATGTGGTTGTTCTTGCCTGCATCACCAGCCCCCATGGAGGCCCTCGTCTGTATGACCAGCTTCACTTCCTGAACTCCTCATGCCCAAGACTCTTGCAGGCATGGTCTTGGGCCAGGCAGTGACCTGGCACGTGCATGCACCCAGCCAGAGTGCTAGGGGCTCACCTCCATGCCACCTGCCTCATCACTTGGGCGGATGGGGAGCAGAAGGGGTGGCATGGCATACGCTTGCAGCTCCCATAGCCAGCCCTAGAAAGCTAGTTAAGCCCAAGCATATTCTCCACCTCATTCCTGTGCGCAGAACGGGGCAGCTACATCCAACCTAGCTGAGACATTGCCCCTTGGATGGTCCCTGCTGAGATCCTGTCCTGGGTAGGAGGTCTTGACCAAAGTCCCAGGATTCATCCCCGAATCCCTCCGGCTCCTGCTGCCCTCACGAGGCTGCTTCCAATAGAGGCAAACTTCCAAAGCGTGGCATGGAACAAGCAGTGCGTTTCAAGCTGCTCCCTACCATCTGGGCCGGTTTCAGCTTTTCCTGAGATGCTTCCACAACCCTACGCAGTGCCCTAAAGCATAGCAGCGTACAGACCGTCTCCCCCAGTCGCAGGAGGAAGGGTCCAAGTCCACAATTATGGACTAGTAAGAGCAGAGGGATTCCCGTTCCTGAGTGGCGAACTTGTATAGCCTTGCTGGGAGCCTGGAGTGGGGGTCACTGAGATGTTCCTTCCACACCCTGGGGGATGTCCACGCCGAGTCCTGAACAGCATGCGAATGCAGGAGACGGCAGCATGCTGATGCCTGGCGGGAGTGAGAAGACGCCTCCTTAAAGAAGTGGGAAGTCCCACAGGGGATGAAGACTCTTCATCTTTGCTCGCAGGCAGCTCAGAGACCTCGATTCCTGCTCCTAGCCCGGCGCGGAGGCCTGGGGAGCGCACCTGGGTGGGAGGTTCGCACCCCAAAGGGAAGGCTGGAGGGGCAGGGAGGCTTTTTCCCTTGCCTGCCCTGAAGGAAGGAGAAACTGGAGGTGGGATGAATGGGGGAGGAAGGAGAAGGCGACTATAAAAATGGAAATAAATAAAAGAGGGTTAAACTCCATTTCCTCCCATTTTAATTTGGTTATGTTTGAAGAGGGTGAATTTGTTTGGTCCCAGGAGTTAAAGCGCCATGCATTTTTGGAACAGTTTCAGCCAATCAGGAGGCAGCTCATGATTCCAGTATCCTTAAATCCCAACCAATCAGAAGCTCTGAAAAAAAAAGCCTTCATTGCTTGGGCTTTAAGCTCTTGAGGTATCGGCTTTTTGCTCTGAGGAAAAGAAGAAAAAATAACAGACAACGTCGACCTTTTGCTTCACATTATCATAGAAGGAGGAGGAGGAAAAAAACGACCTACTATGCAAAATACTCTTCAAAGACGACTCTTAAAAAAATAAAAGCTTGGTTGGAAAATATGCTTGAATCTCTAAGTGTGTGGAGTGAGTGACTGGACGGCAAGATGGCTGGTTGGCTGGTGTAGAGATGGAGACGATGGAGGGTCGGCTTATTTTCTGCCGGCGCTGAGGAGGACGCCGCGCGGCTAGATGCTCTCCACGTAGTTGGCTGGGTAGAGGCCAAGCTGCCCGTTGTCCAGACGCCCTTTGCACCATCCTTGTTCATCTTCTTCTCCTAATTTGGTTAGTTCGTCACCTGCGGTGGGAAGGAAAGGGAGACGGAAGTCACCGCAAGTCTGTCTGGGGCCTTCCCCAGTGCGCACGAGCAAGGATCGAAACGGCGCAGCTGCCTACGGCTCGAGCTGAAGGAATACCTCTATTAGCCAGAAGAGCTAGTAGGCTTTTATCTGGGAGCTAGAAAGGGGCATGTAGCAGAGAGGGAAAGAGTGGCACACAGGTGGAAAGTATTAATTTTCACTCGGTGCCACCACGGCTTAGCCTGGATGGGTGCCATCCTTCTGCCAGTAGTCGCAGACCAGGCATCAGGGGCTCTTTGAACATTGAAGCCAAGCTGGCCAAGTCTTGTCCCTCCCTGTCCCTCCATAAGTTCCACTTTGAAATGTTTTGGGGTTGGAAAATACAGAAACGGCTCAAGCCGCAAAGACTGGAGGCATCTAGGGAGGTCTTTGGCCAGGAAGCCTCTGGAGAGGTTGGCCCCTGCTGGGCCAGGTGTGCTCCGCGTCTTACCTGCTTTGAAGCTCAGCTCATCCTGCTCCTGCCCATCGTAGTCGTACAGGGCCCGCACACGCACCCCCTTCACGGCCGTCTCGTCTTCGAAGGGGTTGGCACCGCCATTGGCCTCGTTGGCACTGAAGGGGTTGCTGCCTTCATCGTCTGACCACTCAGACGAGTAGGGCTGGCTGCGGTCGTAGCTGCTCACGCTGGGGATGCAGAGAGCACGGGGGGTTGTGAAGACGGGTTGAGGGCAGCTGGGAAAGCACTGGACTGCTCCGCAAAGGCCCCGGTGAGGCGAGGTCAGGCTGCAGCCCGTGAGGAGCTGCGCCACAGCCAGAAGCCGAGATGCTGAAGGCTCCCTGGAGACTTCTGCCTTGTCCCTCGGTCGCACGCCCTCCGCCATACCCCAGCACAGGAATCTGCAGCCTCCAGGGCCTACACACAACTGCCTCCCCTCTGCTGGGACACAGGGCTTTCCCATGCCAAAAACTCAATGGCATCCCCTTTGCTACCTCATACCGTGCGTGTTGACACTGAGATTCAACGCGTGCCCTCTGCTGTATTCCTGATGGCCTTGGGGACCCTGGCTCCAAGGTGTGACCCCATCCCCTCTAGTGCAGCTCAGCCCAGGCCTGAACCTGCAGCACAGCGCTGCCTGCTCCCATATCCCAGGGCAGCTCCCGCTAATCTCCAGCACCAAGATGTGGCCCCATCCCTTCTTCTCTCTCCCACAACCCTCCCATAGATTTGCATGGTCTCTGCTACGTCACGGTGCAGGT